ATGGAGTTATGGTTCTTGTGCACTGCACTTCCTCTCAATGTGCTTGATCATTGTATGAAGTTGTATTGAATTCCAACAATTAGTCTTCAAGTTATGCTCCGGACAAAAGAAAGCTATGGAAACAAGCAATTATCATAGTATTGCAAGCAATCCATAAGTCCCCTACGGTTAGAACCCCAACAACATTCTGATGGGCCATTGGCCATTTAATCATACCATTTAATGAATGAATGAATAACATGAATGAACTTAAGAGTTCTAAGTTTGTCTGTATCAAAGTAAAGTGTTAAGTTTCCCTGCCTAGTAAACTAATGTTTCAACTTTTCTCTATTTTAGGTGAATCTATTTGTTGGAAAAAATCTTGCAAAGGGATCTCAGGAAACAGTTTTCATAAACACACAAACAGACTGAAGGAGACTCTAAAGTAATTTTTTTAACAATCCCTGTTACCAAAATATAACATTTTTTAAAGCAAATTCTTAAAGAGGAGATAACTCTTGAAATAAAGATGCTAGATTTATGGTCATTTTCATACATGATATGAGTGTAACAAAGACTTATTTTCAAGACTTAGTGTATTTCGTATCTTTATAATTATAAAGGTATTTTGAAATATATCTTTGTTATACATGTACGTTAATTTTATTTTTATACACATTTTTCTTGTTTTCATTCTGAAAAATTGGTATGATTTCCCTTAAAATATATTTAATACATTTTAATTCAAAATCAACATTAGGTATTCAGTGTATGAACGCTACCCGAATATGTGTTAATTCATTTGTAAAAAAATGTTCAACATTTAATCAAAACAATCGAAACATCATTCGCAGTATAAAATGCTGTTTTAACATTGACTCATTAAGACAAAATCGTCTCCAATAATAATGTTGACCTTATCAACAAGAGGGCCATGATGGCCCTGAGGTCACTCACCTGTATAAAGGGCACCCGGAGCGGGGCCAGTTTAAACCCCAGGGCTTTTATTTGAACAAACTTGGAAGACATCCATTAGAAGATGTTTCACGATGTTAAGTTTTTACTACACACACATAATGAAAAACAACGATCTACCCCCCCCTTTCAGCCCCCCCCCCCCCCCCCCCGACAGGGCCAATTTTAACCCAAGGGCTTTTATTTGAACAAACTTGATAGACACCCATTAGAAGATGTTTCATGCTAAACATCTAAACTCTAGCTCATTGGGTTTTTTAAAAGAAAGATTTTTTAAGTTTTTACTATACACAGTCATATAGTTAAAACCAATGACACCCCTGGGGCGGGGCCAGTTTTGACCCCAGGGCTTTTATTTTTGAACAAACTTTGTAGACACTTACTAGAAGATGTTTCATGCTTAATATCTAAACTCTAGCTATTTGGGTTTTTTTCAAAGAAGATTTAAGTTTTTGCTATACACATAAAAGGAAAATCAATAAGACCCGGGGCGGGGCCAATTTTGACTACAGGGCTTTCATTTGATCAAACTTTGTAGACACTCACTAGAAGATGTTTCATGCTTAATATCTAAACTCCAGCTATTTGGGTTTATTCAAAGAAGATTGTTTAAGTTTCTGCTATATACATATAAGGAAAATCAATGACCCCCAGGGCGGGGCCAATTTTGACCCCAGGGCTTTTATTTGAACAAACTTGGTAGACACCCATTAGAACATGTTTCATGCTAAATATCTTAGCTCTAGCTATTTGAGTTCTTTAAAAGAAGATTTTTTAAGTTTTTACTACATGCATATAGGGAAAATCAATGACCCCTGGGGCGGGGCCAATTTTGACACCAGGGCTTTTATTTGTACAAACTTGGTAGACACTCATTAGAAGATGTTTCATGCAAAATATCTAAGCTCTAGCTCTTAGGCTTTTTTTTTAAAGAAGATATTTAAAGTTTTTTCTTTCGGTTGCCATGGCAACCAGAGTTCTGCATGGAATTAAATTCTTTGAACAATTTTTAAAGGTGACCACCAAAGGAACATTTCTGTGAAGTTTGGATGAAATTGGCTTAGTGGTTTTGTGACAGGTGAGCTAAACAAGAGGGCCATGATGGCCCTGAGGTCGCTCACCTGTATATAGGCCCCCCAACCCCCCTCCCCCCCCCCAAACGTTGCAGGGCCAATTTAACCCAAGGGCTTTTATTTGCACAAACTTGGTAGACACCCATAAGAAGATGTTTCATGCTAAACATCTAAGCTCTAGGCTCATTGGGCTTTTTAAAAGAAGATTTTTTTAAAGTTTTTACTATACACATATAGTTAAAAACAATGACACCCCTGGGGCCGGGCCAGTTTTGACCCCAGGGCTTTTATTTGAACAAACTTTGTAGACACTTACTAGAAGATGTTTCATGCTTAATATCTAAAATCTAGCTATTTGGGTTTTTCAAAGAAGATTTTAAGTTTTTGCTATACACATATAAAGAAAATCAATGACCCCCGAGGCGGGGTAAATTTTGACCCCAGGTCTTTTATTTGAACAAACTTTGTAGACACTCACTAAAAGATGTTTCATGCTTAATATCTTAACTCTAGCTATTTGGGTTTTTTCAAAGAAGATTTTTTAAGTTTTTGCTATACACATATAAGGAAAATCCATTAATGACCCCCGGGGCGGTGCCAATTTTGACCCCAGGGCTTTTATTTGAACAAACTTGGTAGACACCTATTAGAACATGTTTCATGCTAAATATCTTAGCCATAGCTCTTTGAGTTCTTTAAAAGAAGATTTATTAATTTTTTACTATATGCATATAAGGAAAATCAATGACCCCCTGGGGCCGAGCCAATTTTGACCCCAGGGCTTTTATTTGAACAAACTTGGTAGACACTAATTAGAACATGTTTCATGCTTAATATCTTAGCACTAACTCTTTTGGTTCTTTAAAAGAAGATTTTTTAAGTTTTTACTATATGCATATAGGGAAAATCAATGACCCCCCGGGGCGGGGCCAATTTTGACCCCAGGGCTTTTATTTGAACAAACTTGGTAAACACCTATTAGAACATGTTTGATGCTCAATATCTTAGCTCTAGCTCTTTGAATTCTTTAAAAGAAGATTTTTTAAGTTTTTACTATACACATATAGGAAAAATCAATGACCCCCCCAGGGCGGGGCCAATTTTGACCCCAGGGCTTTTATTTGAACAAACTTGGTAGACACCCATTAGAACATGTTTCATGGTAAATATCTTAGCTCTAGCTCTTTGGGTTCTTTAAAAGAAGATTTTTTAAGTTTTTACTATATGCATATAGGGAAAATCAATGACCCCCGGGGCGGGGCCAATTTTGACCCCAGGGCTCTTATTTGAACAAATTTAATAGACACCCATTAGAACATGTTTCATGGTAAATATCTTAGCTATAGGTCTTTGGGTTCTTTTAAAAGAAGATTTTTTAAGCTTTTACTATATGCATATAGGGAAAATCAATGACCCCCTGGGGCGGGGCCAATTTTGACCCCAGGGCTTTTATTTGAACAAACTTGGTAGACACTCACTAGAAGATGTTTCATGCCAAATATTTAAGCTCTAGCTCTTTGGATTTTTTAGAAGAAGATATTTTAAGTTTTTTCTTTTGGTTGCCATGGCAACCAGATGTGTGCATGGAATTAAATTCTTTGAACAATTTTCAAAGGTGACCACCAAAGGAACATTCATGTGAAGTTTGGATGAAATTAGCTTAGTGGTTTATGAGGAGATGTCATTTAAAGTAAAAGTTTACGGATGGACGACGGACAGACGGACGAAAAGCGATCACAAAAGGTGAGCTAAAAAGGAAAAAACAAACATTTTTTTCATGAAAATTTTAAGTTCAAGGGAGGTAATTCTCATAATTTTCAAGCTAGAGTTGTAAACCTTGTCACATATGGTGTGATTGATGACAAGGAACTTATATTTAAAGTTTGAAGTAAATACCTTAAGGAATAAAGAAGTTATAGTGAAAAAGCATAAAAACTAGAATAAAAAATCTTTAAATTCAGTATATTTGTTGCCATAGCAACCAGAATTCTCAACATAGGAAGAAAAGAAAAAGATGTGCATAATCTCCAGGCTGCCATCTACCCATATTTTAAGTTTCATAAAATAATTTCAGTACTTTTTGCGTTATCACTGAATCCAGTATATGTGTTAAATTTGCCATATTTTCAGTTTATTTGTTGCCATAGCAACCAGAATTTTCAACATAGGAAGAAAAGGAAAAGACGTGCATAATCTCCATACTGCTATTTATCCATATACAAGATTCATAAAAATATTTTCAGTACTTTTTGCGTTATCGGGGGATCCAGTTTTGTGAACGAACGGACGGACTGACAGACGGACGGAGGGTAAACCTAAAGTCACCTCCGGTTAAACCAGTAGGGGACTAAAAAAACAAGGGGCAATAACTCTGTAATTACTTTAGATAGAGTTATGGTTCTTGTGCACTGCACTTCCCCTTATTGTGCTTGACCATTGTATGAAGTTGTTTTGAATTCCAACCTGTAATTTTCAAGTTATGCTCCGGACAAGGAAAAGTAACAAAGGGCAATAACTCTGTAATTTGTCAAGATAGAGTTATGGTTCTTGTACACTGCACTTCCTCTCAATGTGCTTGATAGTTGTATGAAGTTGTAGTGAATTCCAAACATTAGTCTTCAAGTTATGCTCTGGACAAGAAAAATGCAACGGACCCCTGGACCCACCGACCACCCGACCGACCACCGAGTGACTCCAATATATCCCCCCAAACTTTCGTTTCGGGGGTATAATAAGAAATGCAGAGTACCGGGTCTTGTGCACTGCAATTCAAGTCATTATAAGAAGCATGCATACCAAGTTTGAAGTCAATTCGACTTATAATGACTTATGCTCCGGACAAGCTTAAGGGAACACCGACGCCTACAAAAGTAACCCCTATATGTCGCCTTTTTCAAGGCGTCACAAAAATGAATGCTTTAATTACTTTGATGCACAATCTGAGGCTGCCTTATCACATTAATTTAATCTCACCTTAGGTATTGCAAAAGCAGGGGCTGTCGGGAAATCTATTGGCTCTATAGCTGCATCAGCAAAACCTGTAGCAAAAACACAACATAAATACATTGCACATAAATTTTGGGATATATTTAAGAAATTTAAGGGCTAAAATTAAGAAATTTAGTGTACAAATAAGAAATGTTAGGGGTAAAGTTTGAAATTCTATAACTAAACTAGAACTGCCACTGTCATGGCGTAGATACCCCAGCATACCACTTTGTCAGAATCAACAGTGGCCATTGAGAACTCAAGGACAACCACCCTGCCAAATCTGAGGTTACTAAGCCAGTGCATTGCTAAGATATGTATTCTCCATGCTTCAAATGTGAAAATTTTAAAATCAAGTTTTTTTAGTCAAGGCCCCTGTGACCTTGACCTTTGACCCAGTGACCTCAAAATCAATAGGGGTCATTTACTAATCATGACTAACCTCCATGCCAAATATGAAGACTGTGGGTCAAAGGAATCTCAAGTTATTGGGCAGACAAGCTTTTTTTAAGTCAAGGCCCCTGTGACCTTGAACTTTGACCCAGTGACCTCAAAATCAATAGGGGTCATCTACTAATCATGACTAACCTCCATGCCAAATATGAAGACTGTGGGTCAAAGGAATCTCAAGTTATTGGGCGGACAAGCTTTTTTTTAGTCAAGGCCCCTGTGACCTTGACCTTTGACCCAGTGACCTCAAAATCAATAGGAGTCATCTACTAATCATGACTAACCTCCATGCCAAATATGAAGACTGTGGGTCAAAGGAATCTCAAGTTATTGGGCAGACAAGGTTTTTTAAGTCAAGGTCCCTGTGACCTTTGACCCAGTGACCTCAAAATCAATAGGGGTCATTTACTAATCTTGACTAACCTCCATGCCAAATAGGAAGACTGTGGGCCAAAGGAATCTCAAGTTATTGTGTGGACAAGTTTTTTAATGTCAAGGCCCCTGTGACCTTGACCTTTGACCTAGTGACCCCAAAAATAATAGGGGTCATCTAATAATCATGTCTAACCTCCATGCCAAATATGAAGACTGTGGGTCAAAGGAATCTCAAGTTCTTGGGCGGACAAGGTTTTTTTAATCAAGGCCCCTGTGACCTTGACCTTTGACCCAGTGACCTCAAAATCAATAGGGGTCATCTACTAATCATGACTAACCTCCATGCCAAATATGAAGACTGTGGGCCAAAGGGATCTCAAGTTATTGGGCGGACAAGGAAAAACCGACAGACGGACGGGGAGACGTCAAGACGGACAAGGTGATTCCAGTATACCCCCCTTACAACTTCGTTGTGCGGGGGTATAACTATGGCCTCAAAAGACCATCATATGGGCTTACCTTTGCATATTGACACAAAAGTAACTCACAAATAATGTTCTAGTTTAGTTATAGCAAAGGTGTCTACCAGTGTTCCATAGTCATCAGGTGTTGTTGGCTGCATCCTGGAAATAAACAGGATCAGATATTTTAAAACAACTGAAAGAACCCATCAAAAAGGGAACAGTTCTGTTCACCAGCCATACACATGTAAAAATCAATGTCTGACTGAGAAATAAACTTAATTATGGCCTTTTTAGCCATCACATTCCACATCATATTTTTTACATTTTAGAACAAACGCTTAAATCTTTCTACAAAATAAATAACTGTTTTCAGTGTAAGTAATACATTTGACTAGAAAGTGTATAGCTGGCAAACAATACATACAAACTAAAATGTCTAAAATATATGTGAACTGAGAATGAGTATGCACAAATAAATAATAGTACAAAACCCTTATAGTAAAAAGCCCTAACAAAATGAAGAATCTAATGACAAGCATGTAATAACATTTTCTAAGTTAAGTGTGAAAATTATCACACTGACTCATTTCATTGTTGATGTTGCTGAATGTGCCTCTTCTGCTTCGCAAATAGCACCTCCTAGATCTTTCTGTTTTCCTCAATGTGGTGTCTTGACTCCTTATTTTATTACTTGCCACATCAATGAAGCCTTGTGTAACCAGGAGCATTTACTTATCCCTCCGATAATCTACATTGAGAAATATGGCTTAAAAGAATCAAGATTTACCTTAAGAAATTACATCTCTGTCATCCAGTCACAGCCAAAAACAACCTGAATAAATGGTTTCACTGTCAACTGCCTTTAACTGCCTACTCTAAATAAGAAAAGCTGAAAAACTAAATTAAAACATAATTAGAATTAAAACATTTTCAAGTTATAAGTATGTTTATAACAAAAGATAAAACAAGATCTGTCCGAGGACAACGAAGCTCGACTATTCGAAAAAGTTGTCACAAGGGCGTTTCATTGAGTATAATCATGCTTACCTAATGAATACATAAAATTGTCCAAAAAAGAACAAGGGCTTGTCATTTAGATGTTTTATCAAGTAAATCACTGCTTGATTAATATGAATGCACAAAAATTGTCACAAAAAAAAGGCACAACCCTTCAGTTGTTATGGAGATACCAGCTTACACCCAAAAGCTTAACCAAGAATTTCTAAGTCTTTAAAGGGACATAAATATGCAAAATAGCAAATCAGAGTTATAGGACTTGTGCCAATCATGTACGATAATCACAGAGAACAAGTGTGTGAAGTTTCAATCCATTCCCTTTGGGTGTTCTGGAGATACCAGCTTACAAGCAAAAACCTAACAAAGAATTTCTAAGTCTAAAAAGGGGCATTAATATGCAAAATAGCAAATCAAAAGTTATGGGACTTGGGCCAATCATATTAGATAATCACAGAGAACAAGTGTGTGAAGTTTAATTCCATTCCCGTCAGTTGTTCTTGAGATACCAGCTTACACGCAAAAACTTAACGAAGAATTTCTAAGTTGAAAAATGGGCATCATTATGCAATAAAGCAAATCAGAGTTTTGGGACTTGTGCCAATCATGTAAGATAATCACAGAAAACAAGAGTGTGAAGTTTTAATCCATTCCCTTGAGTAGTTATGGAGATACAAGCTTACATGTAAAAGCTTAACCACAAGGATGCCGACGCTGACAAATGCTTGACTGCATTAGCCAGAATATTAGAGTTATTTCCCGGACAAGATATTTTTAAAAGGGTAGATAATTCACACACTGGGCAAAACAGAGTTATGTTTTTTTGTACTGCACTTTACTAAATGAGATCTATCTACCAACAAAGTTTCATGTGGATATCTCTTATTATTTTAGCGTAATGTCCCGGACAAAGGTCAAAAGTAAAAATAAACAAAGGGCAATAACTCCAAAATTAGGCAAGGCAGAGCTATGATTCTTGTGCACTGCACATCAACCCATTGAGATATATCTACCTACAAAGTTTCATGTTGACATCTCTTATAGTTTTACAGCTATTTCCTGGACAAGGTTTTTCTAAAAGGGGAGATAATTAAAAAATGAGGCTTAACAGAGCTATGGTTCTTTTGCACTGCACTACTACTCAATGAGATCTATCTACCTACAATGTTTCATGTTGTTAACTCTTACAGTTTTAGAGTTATGTTCCTGACTAAGTTTAAAGTGTTAAAATTAACAAAGGGCAATAACTTCAAAATTAGGCAAAAAAGAGTAATGGTTCTTGTGCATAGCACATCTACCCATTGAGATCTATTTATCTACAAAGTTTCATGTTGATATCTCTTATAGTTTTAAAGTTATATCCCGGACAATATTTTTCTAAAAGGGGAGATAATTAAAAAACCAGGCAAAATAGAGTTATGGTTCTTTGACACTGCACTTCCCCTCAGTGCCCTCTACCACTGTATGAAGTTTACACAAATTATCTCAAAGGGTTTTCAAGTTATGCTCCGGACAAGACAACGGACAGACAGACAGATGGACGGACGGATAGACGGACAAGGTGGCGACTATATGCTCTCCCTTCGGGGAGCATAATAAAGTAGAATAAAAAATTTTTTTGTTTGGTTTAAACAGTGATTAAAACAAATTTTTTAGTCATGTCTCTGTGACTGGTTCACCTAAATGGCTTTCCTGAATAACTTACCAGCAAATACTAATTTCTTTGCAAGAGACCAACTACTTATCCCACATGTGATGGGAGACAAATGACCATTAGACTCCTTAACATTTATTGATTGTCACAGAGACATTTTGCATCACCCAAGGATCAATCCAGTGCCCTCTGGATTACAAATCCAATGCTCGCCTGTTTGATCTAAGCCAGCAAAATGATTTATCAACATCTTTGCCTTATAATTTAGTATTAAACACAAAGATAATGAGGTCACAATTCATTTGTACAATGTAGTTAAGTAGAACTACTGGTTAGTATAACATATTATTTTGGCACTACAAGTTGGGTCTTTATCACTGTTTGACGTTTTAATCAACACATTAAAGATATTCTACAGACAAATATAATCAAGGGAGATGAATAAACAAGAGGACAATGATGGCCCTGAAAATGCTCACCTGAATATAGAAACTCTCCATGACAAGGAACAAGTAATATTGCAAACTATAAACAAAAGAAGATAAAAAATCTAATATTTGTATCTGAAATAGTGCATGTGTAAAAACATTAATAGTTGAAGATATTTCATGCCAAATATCTAAGCTCTAGATTTTTTTTCTTTTCTTTCGGTCGCTATTGCAACTAGAGTTCAACATGGAATTAAATTCTTTGAGCATTTTTTAAATGCTACCACCAAAGGAACATTCCTGTGAAGTTTGGATGAAACTGGCTCAGTGGTTTATAAGGAGATGTTGTTTAAAGTAAAAGTTTACGGACAGCCGAATGAATTGTGATCACATATTATTATTAAGCTCACCTTGTAACTTTGTGACAGGTGAGCTAAAAAAAGAAGAAATGTAGAGTTATATTTCTTTAACAATGCACTTCTTCACAATATGTGATACATATTTTCTGACATACCAAGAATTCTGGCAAGTGGTTTAATATTGTGTTTCTCAGCAGCATGTGCTGACATCAGAACAATGGCACCTGCTCCATCATTGAGGGTACTAGCATTAGCAGCAGTTATGGTCCCTGAAATATAAGACATTTTAACATAACAAGAGCTGTTGGTGGGACAGCATGCTGGACTATCCTTAGTGCTTGAAAGTAAAAGTGTAAAATAATGTAAGATAATGTAAAATTTTTAAGTTCTCAAAAGGGCAAACCTTTTTTCATACACATGTTATAGGCCTTGAAGAGAGTCCTATTATGCTCACAAAAAAAGTGTATAAAATTTCAACTTGTTTCAAAGCAAGCTGTCAATGAAATATGAAAATATCTGAGGTGGTACACGAAATTTAACTTAAATTCTAAGTTGAACTAGAAATGTGTCCATAGGACACGGGTGCCCCCACCGCAACACTGTTCTGTCAATCTTTTTACTAAGTCAAGGGAAATAACTCTACAAATACTGGATAAATCTACAAGCGAAACCCCAGGTGCAAATCTAAAATATGCTGAGCAACCTGCCCATAAGGTTTATTGACTATGTCAAATCCTTTTTGAGAAACTTGCGACACAAGCTGAAAATTGCAAAAATTTTCTAAGTGAAGGGCAATAACTCTAAAAATACTAAATAAATCCAGATGAAAATACCTGGTGCACAACTGCACATGCTAATCAATATTCCTGTAAAGTTACATGACTCTAGGTCAAATACTTTTTGAGTTATGTGCGACACATGTTGAAAATTGCCAAATTTTACTAAGTCATGGGCAATAACTCTGAAAATATTAAAAATATCCAGACGAAAATACCCAGGTGCACAACTACACATGCTGATCAACATTCCTGTAAAGTTTCATGACTCTAAGTCAAATACTTTTTGAGTTATGTGCGACACAAGTTGAAAATTGCAAAATTTTACTAAGTCAAACGCAATAACTCTAAAAATACTAAAAATATGTACACAAAAATACCCAGGTGCACAACTACACATTCTGATCAACATTCCTGTAAAGTTTCATGACTCTAGGTCAAATCCTTTTTGAGTTACGTGCGACACAAGTTGAAAATTGCAAAATTTTACTAAGTCAAGGGCAATAACTCTGAAAATACTAAAAATATCCAGATGAAAATACCCAGGTGCACAACTTCACATGCTGATCAACATTCCTGTAAAGTTTCATGACTGTAGGTCAAATACTTTTGAGTTACATGCGACACAAGTTGAAAATTGCAAAATTTTACTAAGTCAAGGGCAATAACTCTGAAAATACTAAAAATATCCAGACCAAAATACCCAGGTGCACAACTACACATGCTGATCAACATTCCTGTAAAGTTTCATGACTCTAGGTCAAATACTTTTTGAGTTACGTGCGACACAAAAGTGAACGGATGGACGGACGGAAGGACGGATGGAAGGACGGACGGACAAGGGTAAATCTAAATGCCCGCCACTAACGTGGGGGCACAAAAAGGGGCATTATTTTGTCAAAATGCTTAATAGAGTTACCTCATCCTGTCTACAGCTTGGGGTCATGATGGTGAACAAGTGTGCAAAGTTTCAAAGCCATATGCAAATGGACTTTGGAAATATTTGAGGTGTTACAACTAGAATTGCCACTGTCTTGACATTGGTTTTTTGTTTGTTTCATTTTACGCCTTTTCCCAACAGTTTTTCAGTCATATAGGTGGGTAGTTTCCTAACCATCATTCCTGGAGAGTTACACTAGTACTAGACTATCTTCCTCCGTGCTTAACTACCAAAGCATCTCCTGGGGATCGAACCCATGCCAGAGAGGTAACTGGATTAGAAGTCATCGGCTCTAACCCCTTGACCACGGAGGCAGTTCTGTCTTGGGGTGAATGCCCCCGCATACCACTTTGTCAGAATCAACAGTGGACATATAGATCCCTGCCAAAGCTGAGGTTAGTAAGCCAATGCATTGCTAAGTTATGCATTCTAGAAGCTTCAAATGTGAAAATTTTTGACGCATTTTGACCAATGACAAGAGAGACAATGTAAACTGTAATTTGATTGGTCATTCTAAAAAAGAATGCCGGAAAAGACTCGATTTGACCATTGAGAAAAGCGCTTACAGACGTACCATAGGCGGTTAGCGTAGCAATAAAAGCAAAAGCGTGCCGGTTTTTGGGTACTCTATAAAATATGACGAATGAATTTATTGTCTTTGTCGAATTTACATCAATCTCAAAAATGACCCAGGAGCTCACGAAATCCGCGGAAAATTGGCAGCCCTGTCTTGACCTGGTGACCTCAAAATCAATGTGGGTCATCTACTCATCATGACTAACCTCCATGCCAAATTTCAAGACTGTGGGTCAAACGAATCTTAAGTAATTGGGCGGACAAGCTTTTTGAAGTCAAGGCCCCTGTGACCTTGACCTTTGACTTGGTGACCACAAAATCAATAGGGATCATCTACTCATCATGACTAACCTCTATGCCAAATATGAAGACTGTGGGTCAAAGGAATCTCAAGTTATTTGGCAAACAAGAAAAAACCGACGGACGCCTGACGGCCGGACAGCTGGATGGTCAGATGGACAAGCTGATTCAAGTATATCCCCCTTACAACTTTTTTTTGCGGGGGTATAAAAATCAAACAAAATACAAAATCAAGTAACATAAAAATTATAACTACCATCTTTTTGAAATACAGCTTTAAGAGATGGTACTTTATCAAAATTGACCTTTCTGTACTCTTCATCTTCTGAAACTGTTATTGGGTCACCTGAAATAAACAAGAATGCATTAAATGATTTGTGAAAAATGCTATGCAATCCCATTATACAACATTAAATAGTAAGAACAGAAGCAGTACTTTTTTAGTTTCTAAACAACGAAACTTTTTGATAATGCTTTAGAATTTACTGAATTTGGAAGTAAGTCACTAGGTACAAATATAGGTTAACTATCATATCAATCTATTCTTTATCTTAAACTGTACAAATGGTCTATATATATTTCTGTATCTAAAAAACAAAAAAGTAGGTCACTTGGTGAAGATATATATTATTTGATACTAGAGTTCAATTCTATATCTGAAACCATATCATGGTTCTAATTTTACATCTCTATGTCAAATAACAAACAAATATAAGGAAAACAAAAGGTGGCAATTAGAAGAATTTGAACGATGTTGGTCACTAGAAGATACTTCATGCAAAATATATTATTTGAATTATACTACCAGTATATACATGGTCTGAATTTTAAAGCTGTACATCAAAAACAAGAAAGTAGGTCACTAGGTCTATATTTAATTTGTTTGATATCAAATTTCAATTACACGCCTGAAATTGTGCATAAAGTCAAAATGTCATAGCTGTAAACAAGGTGGTCAAAATGTGATAGCTGTATATTAATAAGAGGACCATGATGGTCCTGAAATCGCTTACCTGTTTATAGGCCCCTGGGGCGGGGCCAATTGTAACCCAAGGGCTTTTATTTGAATAAACTTGGTAGACACTCATTAGAAAATGTTTCATGATTAATATCTAAGCTCTTGGAAAAAGTATGACCTCTCCCTCCTCCCACCCTACCCCGGGACGGGGCCAATTTTGACCCCAAGGATTTGTATTTTAACCAACTTGGTGGACACTCACTAGAAGATATTTCATGCTAAAACATGAAAAAGGAAAATCAATGACCCCCATGCCTTTAAACTTTGTATCTTAACTCTAGCTCTTTGGGTTTTTTCAAGAAGATTTTTGAAGTTTTTACTATACACATACAACGAAAATCAATGATCCACGAGGCAGGGTCAATTTTAACCCAAGGGCCCTTATTTGAACAAACTTGGTAGACATCCATTAGAAGATGTTTCATGCTAAATATCTTAGCTCTAGCTCTTTGGGTTTTTCAAAAGAAAACTTTTTAAATTTCTACTATATACATAAAGGGAAAAACAATGACCCCCTGGCGCGGGGCTAATTTTGACCCCAGGGCTTTTATTTGAATAAACTTTTTAGACACCCACTAGAAAATGTTTCATGATTAATATCTAAGCTCTAGCTATTTGAGTTTTTTAAAAGAAGATTTTTAAGTTTTTACTATGTACAAATAAGGAAAATCAATGACCCCCCCCCCTTCTTGAGGCCTCAAACACTGTAAACTAGAAATGTGTCCATAGGACACGGGTGCCCCCACCGCAAATTGCAATTGCAAAAATTTTCTAAGTGAAGGGCAATAACTCTAAAAATACTAAATAAATCCAGACGAAATTACCTGGTGCACAACTGCACATGCTGATCAATATTTCTGTAAAGTTACATGACTCTAGGTCAAATACTTTTTGAGTTACGTGCGACACATGTTGAAAATTGCAAAATTTTACTAAGTCAAGGGCAATAACTCTGAAAATACTAAAAATATCCACATGAAAATACCCAGGTGCACAACTACATATGCTGATCAACATTCCTGTAAAGTTTCATGACTAGGTAAAATTCTTTTCAAGTTACGTGCGACACAAGCTGAAAATTGCAAAATTTTACTAAGTCAAGGGCAATAACTCTGAAAATACTAAAATTATCCAGACAAAAATATCCAGGTGCACAACTACACATGCTGATCAACATTCCTGTAAAGTTTCATGACTCTAGGTCAAATATCTTTTGAGTTATGTGCGACACAAGGCTGAAAATTGCAAAATTTTACTAAGTCAAGGGCAATAACTCTGAAAATACTTAATATATCCAGACGAAAATACCCATGTGCACAACTACACATGCTGATCAACATTCCTGTAAAGTTTCATGACTCTAGGTCAAAAACTTTTTGAGTTACATGAGACACAAGTTGAAAATTGCAAAATTTTACTAAGTCAAGGGCAATAACTCTGAAAATACTAAAAATATCCAGATGAAAATACCCAGGTGCACAACTACACATGCTGATCAACATTCCTGTAAAGTTTCATGACTCTATGTCAAATACTTTTTGAGTTACATGTGACACAAAAGTGAACGGACGGACGGAAGGAAGGACGGACGAACGGACAAGGGTAAATCTAAATGCCTGCCACTAATGTGGGGGCACAAAAATGCCCTATTTAGGTCCCAAACACTGTTTTTCGTTTCAGAAATGTTGTTAAACTAGAAATGTGTCCATAGGACATGGGTGCCCCCACACTCCTCCGATCTTATGTCTCTAGGTCAATTTTTTTTTTTTTTGGCTACATGGGCCCAAGTTGAAAACTAAAAATCTTTTATTAAGTAAAGGGCAAATACTACAAATACTGAATTAATCCACAAGAAAACCCCAAGAAGCATATAATTAAGTACACATGCTGACCAACATTCTTGTAAACTTTCAGGCCTACAGCTCATAAACTTTTTGAGTTACGTGCAACAGAAGTTAAATATTGAAAAATTTTACTAAGTCAAGGGCAAAAACTCTAAAAATACTTAAAAATATCCACTTGAAAATACCCAGGTGCACAACTACACATATTGAGCAACATTCCTGTAAGGTTTCATGACTGTAGGTCAAATACTTTTTGAGTTACGTGCGACACAAGTTGAAAATTGGATTTTTTTTTTTACTAATTCAAGGGCAATAACTCTAAAAATACTAAATATATCAACATGAAAATACGCAGGTGCACAACTTCACATGCTGATCAACATTCCTGTAAGGTTTCATGACTAGTCAAATATTTTTTGAGTTATGTTTGACACAAGGTGAAAATTGGAAATTTTTACTAAGTCAAGGGCAATAACTCTAAAAATACTAAATATATCCACTCGAAAATACCCAGGTGCACAACTACACATGCTGAGCAACATTCTTGTCAGGTTTCATGACTCTAGGTCTAATACTTATTTAGTTATGTGCGACACAAGTTGAAAATTTGAAATTTTTACTTATTCAAGGGCAATAACTCTAAAAATACTAAATATATCCACACAAAAATACCCAGGTGCACAACTTAACATGCTGATCAACATTCCAATAAGGTTTCATGACTCTATGTCAATTATTTTTTTAGCTACTTGCGACACAAAAAGTGGACAGATGGATGGATAGAAGGACGGACAAGGGTAAATCTAAATGCCACCCCCCCATATAGTGGGGGCACAATAAAAATGACCACCTTTTTTAGACAAGTATTTAATAATATTATCAATGGCTGAGTAATTACATCTGAAACCTGCCTGACATTTATCTATTTTATTATTTTCTTCAGCCCAATTTTATCACCTTTTATTCACAATGCCAGAAAATATTTTATACATTGTATTTGTGAAAGAAATGCCCCGATAATTGTTCGGTGAGAAAGACAACCCAGACTTGTAAACTGGACATATAAACTTTGACCCCAAGTACAGTCGGCATCGTACTTGTGTCCACCTTTATGAAGGGACTTTTTTTATGAAGCGGCCACATAAAATCCCTCCTGATGACTTTTACTGTATAAGTTAATTCCATTAAACGACAATTTTATATCGCGGCCAGCGGCCACTACATGTTGGCCCAAATGTACAAAATAAAGTGTTAAAGTATCTATTAGACGGCCGTGACAAACAGTCGTCCCTATGGGCATTCTCACCTGTGTAATCAGCAAGCAGGTTTGATGTGTACAAGCAAACAAACAAATATTTTTCATGGTCATTGGTCTTAAAGTATCTATTAAACGACCGTCACAAATAATTGTCGTTTAAAAACAAATTGACTAATAATTACAATCGTTTCAAAATCGGAAAGAAAGAAACAGTTTTCCGATTGTAATATTTATTGTGACATATTTTGTCAGAGCAAAAACGTATCACAACACGTATTTGCACAGTTTTGTCATGTGCTCAGAGTTACCTCCCTTCCAGAAAATCAAATCGAAAATGACGTCGGAACGAGCGAAAAAATGACAGACAACTAATAAGACCTGATAAATTGAATGAGGAAAACGTGCATGATAGAGTCTGAGTAAATAAACAAGAGGGCCATGATGGCCCTGAGGTCGCTCATCTGTATATAGGCCCCGGAACAGGGCCAGTTTAAACCCCAGGGCTTTTATTTGAACAAACTTGGAAGACACTCATTAGAAGATGTTTCACAATGTTAAGCTTTTACTACACACATGTAATGAAAAACAATGATCTCATCCCCCTGTAAGCTCTAGTTCATTGGGTTTTTTAAAAGAAGATTTTGTAAGTTTTTACTACACACATACTAAAAACAGTGACACCCCTAGGGCTTTTATTTGAACAAACTTTGTAGACACTTATTAGAAGATGTTTCAAGCTTAATATCTAACTCTAGCTATTTGGGTTTTTTCAAAGAAGACTTTTTAAGTTTGTTACTATATGCATATATAGGGAAAATCAAGACCCCCCGGGGCAGGGCCAATTTTGACCACAGGACTATTATTTGAACAAACTTTGTAGACACTTACTAGAAGATGTTTTCATGCTTAATATCTAAACTCTAGCTATTTGGGTTTTTTCACCGAAGAGTTTTAAGTTTTTGTTATACACATATCAGGAAAACCAATGACCCCCCGGGCGGGGCCAATTTTGACCCCAGGGCTTTTATTTGAACAGACTTTGTAGACACCAGTAGAACATGTTTCATGCTAAATATCTTAGCTCAAACACTTTGAGTTCTTTAAAAGAAGATTTTTTAAAGTTTTTACTATATGCATATAGGGAAAATCAATGACCCCCTGGGGCGGGGCCAATTTTGACCCGGGGCTTTTATTTGAACAAAATTGGTAGACACTCATTAGAAGAT